TGTGTCTGGAGAGAGCAGCCAGGATGAGCTGCTCCATCACTTTCCCGGGGAAAGTGATGTACAAGTAAAGAACAAATTGTGAAATCTCTTGTGTCCTATGTTCTGCAACTTTGGATACTGTATTTATAGGAGGCAACTTACAAAGTTGCATTATTTTGCTGTCTATTTCTTCCATTTTTTAAAGCCATCTTGTGACTCAGTTCCTTAGACAGCCTTTGAATCTTGTACACAAGGAGAGAGATGTTCCTTGCTTCAATCACAAACTGAAAGGAGTGGCTTAGGATATTTGTAGTTTTAATTTTGTAATTTTCACTACATGAGATTCCCTAAGGCCACTAATCCTAGAAGGCTATGTAACTTTAAAACTCTGAAATTTGCAAGATAGGTCCTTCTAATTTTTGCCTTGATGAGTAAATGCTGAAAGTTAAATAATATAGCACAATGAAAATAGTTTAGGTGCAAGGGAGTATTGACTTTTAGGTGCCTAATGGTGATTTAGTTTTTTGCTACTGTAAATTAGTCCTACCACCTGATTTAGTTGATGTGAACACACCTGCTCCTATACCCTGATTTTCTTAGATTAAGCATGTGCACTTGTGCTTTTCTTTTCTTCTCTGTRAGTATGCATAATGCATGTTGAGCTCAATTTACTGTTAACATTTCCATTCATTTCAACAAGGAAAAATCTTATTGTTTGTGGAAGTTTCATATTCTTGTTCCCCTGTGTTTAAAGATGAAATTCAAGCTGTAGGATTTGTGTATACACCTTTTGCAAAACTTAGATGTGTAGAATATAGTTCAGTTTATGCTTAACTTGCTATGAGTCTCAAGAAAATTGTTATTAGGGACACAAAATAGGCCAAATTAGTAAGAAAAAAGTGATAACTTGGCTTATGTGATAGACTTATCAGCCTGTGTGTAACTTTGAGTGAGACTATGTATTGCTGCTTCCCTTCCTGTTTTGMCACTGAATGTGTAAAGAAACCAATCAAGAACTACTGTTGTGGGCCTGGGAAGGAGCTCTTAATAGTGAGGAGGGGAGGTGTAGGTGGTCACAAATTTGCTGGAAACCAAACTTGATTTATGGAATAAATAGAAGCCTTTTTGAGGTGTGTATAATTTTGTTTCCAAGGCACCTGAGCTATTGAATTCAAGCGTTCTCTGTTTATGCTGCTGTGGAACTAAGTGTGTTTATCAAGATAAGCTTGGTTTGATTTGTGAAATCTGGCATTTGGCTGGTTGCAATAGACACTAAGGAAGGCTTTAGCTAATCATTCTGTTGTCCTGCATTTGGGATGCATGGAAAGTTTTTTGTCAATTTCCTTGTACTTCCAAGTGATTAAATATCATGTGGAAATTTTAATTTGTCTGTTAATAAAAATTTCCTAGTATTTTAGAAATATATTTAGATATGTTTAACTACTTCAGCTTTCCTGAACTTGAAATATGTGGTTTTATGGTTATGACATTATACAAAGTCTGGAGCTAAAGAGGATGAGAACAGCTGAGTTTTCAGCTCTGAAAAAAGCTCCGTTTTCAGAAGGAAGCTGTTTTTGGATCCTGCCTGTGGCAGTGGTATAACAGAAGGGTAAAGTCCTAGCTCCAGAGACTTAGGCTAGGCTATCCAATGCATGGAAGCTGCTTCTGATGCTGTTGCAGTGCAAGAGACACAATACTGATCTGTGCTTTTAAGGAAGGGGTAGGATTTTGTTTGACTAGCCTAGTGTTCAGTCATTGAGTGGAATTTGCAAGTCCTTGACTCTTAAAAGTTTCCTAGTAGTACAGAGTAATTGTAAAAATTGGGGGGGAAAAAAGTGTTTTTTGAAACAATGACTCACATTGGATATCTTCCATGACTGTAAGTAGGAAGGAGAGTACTCAGTCCCTTTTGGTCTGTCTTAGAGTTTTATGTTTTTTAGATTTTTATCAAGTTTTCTTCATCCTCTTGATTATGAAGACTTTTATAGCCAAGCAAACTRTGCAGCTGGTGCTAAAGTATGTTCTTGAATCATGGTTGAAAGCTTTATTCATTTTATGCAGCATATTGAAATGGAGTTGCTCAYTGGGCACACGTGGGATGGCATACCTGTGAGCCATGAGCCTGTGACTGTGCGACTGAAGCCACATGAGGCAGGGCTGCTAATGGAAGTCAGTGCTCCCTTCTTTAATGATCCTCCAGCACCACTTGGAGAGCCAGGGAAGCCCTTCAGTAACCTCTGGGACTATGAGGGTAAGTGTTCCTGTTCTGCTGGAAGTACATCTGAGTTGTGCAGGTATCAATGTTCCTCTGCAGTTAATAAATCTAGTCCTCCTGCAGCATCTTTGAGAGATACTCTTTCAGGCTGATTTCATTTGAAGTGATGAACATCTGATATCCAGTGATTCAAGTCAGGGTCTCTGACAAGACCATTTTGTTGAAGGTCAAAAGTGAAATGCTAAAGTAGAAAATTTCTTTATTTTTTTCTGAGTGCTATGGCAAAGGCTATAAAAATAGCYTTCCCCTTAAACATCTTGAAGTAACCATAAACTTTACACTGTTTTTTAACTTAAAAACTCTTAAGTGTGTTATTTCTAGATGATGATTTATCACAAACAGCTTAGCAATAGGACAATTTTATGGTAATGTAGTAATAAAAATGACTGGGAAAAAGAAGCAAATATATTACTTGTCCACTTGGTGGACAGGTAGGTAAAGTAAGACTAGAGCTATGTCTTTGATGTTGCTTTATGATATTAGTAATTAGGTGAGGCTCGAACACAGGATTATTGTGCAGTACTTAAAACAGTTTGGAATTGGAAACGATCAGTGTGACATAATCAAACCCCGGGAAGCACAGACATTGCTCTTTATGAAACCTGACTATAATACTTCTAGTGGGAAATGGAGATCTTGTGATGTTACAAAATAGGTAAACATTATAAGATACTGATGGCCTATATTTTTAAGTTGTAGAAGCATTTTTCTTGAGTGATGGAGCTGAACAGTATCTAGAAGTTGAACTTTGTCCGTAAGTACAGCACTCTTTGAAAAAGTTTTAAATGCTAATTTGCRTTTCTAGTGTCAATTCTGATGCTTGCAAGATGTATCTATGAGRAGTGAGGAATGCTGCAAGCTTACACTCTTTCAGTGTAAGGAATGTTCTTGTATTTAGTGGAACAGCGTGTGACAGGTCTGTGTCTTGACATTAGTTGAAGTAAATCATGATTCTGATCTTTGACAGTCATGGACAACACTTGTTGCTGCTTCTTTCTGGTAGAAGAAGAGTATGGAAAGTAAGTGGTAAAATGTGTACACACACACATATATATTTGGAAAATCGAAGGTTTTTTCAGATTCCTGACATTGGCATTTTGTTGTTCCTTTAACAGGAAAATCTTCCTTTAGAATTTGAGGTGATCAGAATGGAAGACAAATGGGAAGGTAAAGCTTGTCTGCCTTGGAGTTATTTTCCACCATGCACCAACAAGTTTAATGCATTTGCAATTCATGGCTCGGGAGTAGAGAGAAAATATGAAGCACTTCATCCTGTGCCTCGACATGAACTGCATGAAGGACAGAAACCAGACTTGTAAGTTTAAAATTAGGTGGTCTTTAACCTMACTGCACTGTTTTTGGAGTACTTAGAAAAGCAATTTAATCTGACTTGCTGATTCAGTGCTACAAGTGCTTTAATTACATTGCTTAGGTGCAGACCTATTGGTACAGCACTTTGTGTAAAGGACTGTGGCCGATAGCATAAAATCAGGAATTAATTGCAGCTATCTCCTAGTTGTGCAGTAAACCATGCATTTGGCACCAAAGGCATCTGTTCCATCACCTTCCTATGCTAAATCAGACTGATTGTCCCATTTTCCTTTCCTGTAGCACTTTTTGAAATGCCATTCAGTGTTAGTTTTACCACATGTATCTGTAGTGAATTTCTTGYTTCTCTCCTACTGTTCTAAACCTCACCTCTATAGATGGTTCCACATTGTTTAAAAAAAAAAATCTTGAAAGTGTGGATGAAATGAAGCAATGTAGTGAGAGGATACTTAATAGAAAACAAGAGTGTTTTGATCTTTAGACTTGTTTAGTTTTTGAATGTGATTAATGAGTTGATATAAACTGCAGCTTGAGTATTCTCTGYAAGTGAACTGACTACAGAGGACAAATAGTTCTTGCACAAACTTGCTTCTCAACATACATTGAGAGCAAGGTAAGGTGAACACCACTTTCCTTTATCTAGGAAATCCTTATCTTCTGTATTCATTTTAAAACAAATTCTAGGTTACTAGTCATGTTCCTTCTTGTTCCTTAAGAAATGCATACTTTTGTCTTTATGTAGTAAGCTAGAGAACACTTGTAGTATTTTTTGGGAAATGATTTTTTCCCTTTCCAAGAAAAACTTTTCAGACCTTAAGTGCAGGTGGTGTGAAGAGGTTATTCCTTGCTTGTGTTTTTAGTATGTCTTTACTCCTCAAAAATTAACCTTCCTAGTAAGTWTTTTCTTTACCTAAGTGAATTAGTTTAGAGTTGAATAATCTGCTTAGTTAGGCAGTTGTTGACCTCTAATTGATGTTTACATAAGCATCTGTTCTCTGTTGTTCCTGTATGGTAGTGTAAAGATGTTCTTAGGTCTGCTTCATAATGTTTCAGGAAATAGAAGTTATAGTCTGTGAAGAAAAAGATTGCATTAACTTGACTATCGTATCCTAGCCCTTGAAATTCACTTTATGTTCTGTGGTACTTAGAGCTGAGAAATTTCCCTTGTGTTAATTGGTAAAGGCTTGTGGGAGTACTGTGGTGTTATTTGTAAATTGTCACTTTGGAAGGTGAATGTACTGAATGCTAGTTCTGTTCCTGTTGAAGAAAACAAAGATAAAGAATAAGCAGACCTACTAAGGAGATTTCTTTAACAGTTAAGAGTTTAGGGGTGTGTGTGTGTATATATGTTAATTTTTCTCTTCTCTATTTATAGCCATYGTCTGGAGTTTTTCAAAGAATTAAACCTGAATGCACTAATGGGAGAAGATTGGAAGCAGCCTGAATCCACTATATGGAAATGTCTCACTGACTAGCAAAGCGGAATAAGGCCTGCACTTTTGATAGGATTAAGGTTGGATCAAGCTGTGTGGAAACTCTCTTGATTTTAGAGTTTAAATATGATTTGTAAATATGATTAGTAAAGCTCTGTCTTCCAAAGCACTAATTGCCCTTACAGTGAACTAAAGTATTGGGACCAGTTATTTAGAAATGTATGAAGTATGAAACTGTCCCTGTTTACACGCATGTATGGAGCTTTGTCTGCATCCCWACTGATGAACCTGCTATTACCAACTAATAGAAACTGTGCCAAAATTAGAACGGTTTTCATGAGACCTCATCTTGACAAAGCAAATGTCTGTCTTGGAATCTTCATCAATCTCCTTTAGTTGCTGTTTCTGCTACTGTTTTCCCTGCTACTTATTTTTTGGCTGTTGAATGTGATTCTTGTTTGTCTAAATCACTTTTGTTTAGYGTCATCTAGTATAATCTCCTTCTGTAGGAGATGAGAACACCATTTTCATACCTTTTTCTGGCTCAGATCTCTCATTGCAAGCTGTTCTGGTGGTCGGACCCTTTCCCAGACTTAAAGTTTTCTTTTGCACAGTGCTAAAGAGKCATCTCAGTCTGGCTGTTGGCTTATTAGAAGCCTTATGTGCTTCTAAGTCAATGTAGAATTTTAAGTGATGTTTAAGTATAAAGGCTAAGTTTACAAAGTTTTATGCACTTGAGGCAGAGCTTTTGGGAGAAGTATTACTTAGATTCTGTGGTATAATTGTCCAATAAAAATGTTTCAAGGTTTTTATCATATCATGGTAAGTACTCAGCTTGGATATTAGAAGCCAGAAACTAACAATTTCTATTGAATTGCCACTAGACAATGGGAACCCAAATGAATGGTAGGTGCCTGCATTTCAATGCTTTGTTGTGAATATTATAGTGCTAAAAGTCTGTTAGACTTGCACAATGGTAATATGTAATGGCTAAACTCTTGCAGGATTTACAAATGAGATATTCCCCTCAAGACTTGAGCTTGTGTTTAGCAGAATGTGTTTTGTTCATGATGGCAAATGGGATCCTAGGGTAGCTTAGTAAATGGAGAGCTTGCCTAATAACCAGATGGTTCATGTAAGTGGTAACATAAAATGGAATTTACTTGTTAAATTTAGTGTGGGATTCTGATCAAGATATGATCAATCTTTCTTATTAGGAAGAGGGCTTTCTGCATCCTGTTCAAGTGTCATGATCATAGAACTGTTTTGAAAAATGGACTCTGGGCCTTGTCCAAATGTTATGAATTCAAAAGATTCAGGTGCTCTGTAGCCTGCTACAATGTGCAACCTTGTTTGCTGTGGAAACTTTTCTTACTTGTACTTTGTAGTGTTACAAGTTGCTGCCTCCTATTCTTTCTCTGGGCACCCTCAGAGTTTTCACTTTTTTCTATATAACTATCCGTTGTAAGATCTCCTTCGGGGTTCTTGAAGTACTATCTTGGTTGGCTTTTTGTGAATTGCATTAAGTATCTGTGGTCAGATACTTAATGGCTGCAGAAAAGAGTAATTTACTTCTTTGACCTTTGACTTAATTTTTTTTGTTCCTTTAGCTCATAAATGGTTTTAAAATTTTTGTGTAACATGAAATATGAAAACATATGTAAAGTTTTAGACTAGACACCATTTTATGTGTATGTGCTACAGAAAGGATTGTCTTATTTTGAGCATCCGTGTATGAGTAGCCTTAATTTCAGAGTCAGGTTTTTCTGTGCTCTTTTTAAGCTGGACTGAAAATTCTTCTTGGGAAAAATAGAAGTTGGAATATCATCTCTTTATAAAGACGATTCCACTATATTTGAGATGGAATGCTGCTTAAGAATTGTTTTGGGCTCAAATCTCCCCTTTGTACTTTGTCTTAAAAGATGATACTTTGTAACCTAGGATTCTGGTTTCATAGATATAAATTTTGGTACAATGATGTGTACTTAAGGATCTGGTTTTCTGATCTTCTAATTAGACACTATGGATTCCTTGCTATAAAGTGCCATCTGTTGAAAATTGTAAGTATTGTATATGCAATTTTGTCTTATTTGCTCTCTTCATTATGTATTTTTTGCAGAGTAACATCATAAACATTTTTAATAATCCAATAAATGTTAATTTTAATAAGTGATTTGACATTTGAYGTGTTAAAGCTGTTTTTGAAAAGTTTTAACTCAGTGCAGAAAAGTGAGGATGGGGGAAAATACCTGCGCACAGATGTTTGGTGTTGCAGTGTTTTTGTGATAAGTATTGGGAATTGGGTATGTTGAAATTTGAACAAATTGGACAAGATTATGTCCAGAGYGCCAATTTATATGGAATATCAGTTTAAATTGCAGAGCTGAATGATGAAAAAGCATAGATCACGTGACTGCTCTATCCATATTTTACTGTTAAATGGATTTAAACACTCCAACACTGAGCACTTCTGAACCATCTCTGTCTCTTGAAGTCAACCCATCTGCTGCTTGTGGATAATATTGAGGCAGGTAACAGTAATCCTGTGTCACACTGAGTAGAAGCTAGAATTTTAACTTTAGAAATGCAGAATTCCCTCGAGGATGTGAGAGTATTTTTTCTTTTTTAGCTCTGCAAAAGCTCTAGTTAGTGTTAAATGGACTGTCTTTATGTGTGGAAAAAAGTATCAGTGTTCTGTTGCTTTACTTGGCTGCACTTATTGAGGAAGTGAGGTTGGAAGTGCTGGGATATTGTTACTGTGTTTCCTTTATGTTTGGGAGAAGGGAATCTTTGTAGCACTGTTCTGTAACAATTTTAAACATTGACAAGAATTACAAATGTAATGAAAACAGAAGTTGTTTGACTATGTTAATCTGCTTTTTTTCCTCAAGTTGTAAGTGGTAAATTGATATGAATATGGCAAAACAAGGGTTGTATGTCTGATTTCATCAGGGCATGTTGCTGAGTGTCCATTACATCAGCCTGTCAGGTACTGGCTACTTCTCTCTTTTTTTTTTTTTAAGTACAGTGCAGAAATGTTGCTATGGTTCTTAGGTCATACAATATTATTATACACTCAATTTCTTGCAGCTGCTTTTTGAAATGTGCACTAGAAATAGCAAAAAGGCTTCCTTGTTCCTTGCCTTTTCAACAGAAGCTTCTGCAGAAGAAGGAAAAGTTTCCATGAGCTTAGTGTCAGGGTTAGGTGAAAGCATGAGGACATGGTGCCAGACGCTTATCTCTAAAGGTGTGCTATTCCTGGTTTAATCTGTCTTCTAATATGTTATATTCTATCATGAGGATGTTGATCCCAAAGAGAAGAGAGACTAGTGGAAAACATGGGTCTGTTCAGCTGCAATTGAGATGGTGCTATGTAGGAAATAAATCCGTAAGGCCACAGTGCTCTCAGTCTTAAATTTTGTGTTTTTTTTGCTGTTGTGTCATATCAGTTATTCTAATGAAATACTAAGCAGTTTTGCAATTATTTTTTGGTCAAATCTTTTGAGTAGATACTTGASCAGTTGAGTCTGATTGTAGAGTTGKACTTGAAAAATGATTAGACCCTGAATAATGTGAATAATAAGGCTAGGTTCAATGAATGATAAATAAAAYTGTAAAAAGAGAACTTGTTTCAACAACTTGATGTACATTTCTAACACTTTCTGACAGTACACTTATCCATTCTAGACTTGAGCAGTAAATGCAGAATTTCTTTGTTACTCAGCCCTTCCTAGGTTGGCAAATCTTTAAAGAATTGGGACCTAGAAACATGTCATGACAGTAGATGTTTGTGATGCTTCTGGCCACTAGGTGGAACAAGAAGGTTATGAAAACTATGGCATGGTGTTACTGGAGTTATCCTTAACCACAACCAGCCTATTTCTCTTAGGAAAAAAGATGTTCCCTTCTTACTRATGATGGCTTACTTGGCATTTTTGACACATCTTCACCTAAATAAAAAGGCATGCACTGTGGTTACACTTCTGATATTTATTTGCCCTACTAGGATGTTTTTAAGTAGGTGTGAGAGAAAATTACTGTAAGATRCTGTCAATGTCAGTAAAATAATACCTACTATTTTTGTATGCAAATGACTTTAACTTCTTTGCAAATGTCTTTGGCTTCCTGGAAACTTTTCAAAAGTTTTCAGAACTTCTAGTTTTGAAAGTGAAAACTTCACACTACTAGACAAATTCTATTGAAATCAATGTTTTTTCTCTAAGTGGGATTTGTTTGTGGAAATGAATTTATTCCACATGACTMAAATTGCACATGGACCTGCCAGAGTCATACAACCCTAGAGAGCTCTGGATAATTGAAACAACTGATGTTACCTTGAAAATTTAAGTGGAAGGCTTTTTTACCTCCCTTAGTACTTTCTGGCTGAAAGACCGTGACCAAGTTGCTGTYGTGGCCTTTCTTCTGGCTGAAGCGCATTTTATGCTGATGAAAGGCCCTGTGCAGAATGTTACACTTCAATTTTAAATTCCAGACATGTAAAATATTTTCAAAATATGCACAGCRCAGTGCCTAATTTACTGCACGTTGAACTTGAAATTGTTCTTTCAAATTGTTAAATCCATTTCTAAAGTGGACTTCATTGCACTTGATTACAGTGTGTTTACAATAATACTTTTGAAGTTTGATAGTTAACCCACACTTCTCTGGTAGGTGATTTCCTTTTTTTTCTGGTAGATTAGTTGACCATGGGGTCCACGGTTCAAGCTTAAGCACAAATACTGTGATTTGAAAGTTTGACAGAATCCATGTTTACATAGGTTGTACAAGCAGCTATGCGCATCCTTGTATAAGTGGTGCTGGTGAGATGAATGCAAATGTTCATGTACAAAATGGTGTTGCAGTTAGGCCTTTTTTCCATCTGCTTTTCTATCTGTTGAAAGTTGAATATCAATATCAGGAGGATTCATTCTAGAACTGAATCTTATATTAGCAGGACTTGGAGTTGCTTGTCTGCTTTGTTCTGGCTAAAAGCAAGTAAGCGTCCTACCTAAGGGTTCAGTGGGAAGGGTTTTATGTCATGGTCCAGAAGGCACTCTTTGTATTGGCACTAACTATGAACATAACAAATCATTATAGTAACTTTCAGAAGTAATATTAAGAATGCTACCAAGTACAAAAAYACTGCTTGTACAGTATTTTTGCAAATATTTGTTATTAACATACTTGGAAAAATAGCTGAATTTCATAAAATAGCTTTGAAATGAAATGCAAATTGCTATGCCTTCACTGCTGTTTTAAAGCTAGGTTAGCTGGCCTAATTTAGTACTATGTCTTTCTTGGGATATGCAGTGTAGCCTTAAAGGGCAGCAAGGGGATTTTCACGTGTAACCTTTTCAAAATAGAAAAGAAGAGTTTCCTCTGCAGAACAGTTTTTTAGCTAGTTTAATCTTGTCTTTCACTTCATGAGTGCTTTCTTGATCACGACAGGCAGCAAAGTTTATACCTTGATGTCAATAGTAGCTGTCATAATTATTCATCCCCTTAATTCTAGACAAAGTAATTGATTCCCATTTTCTTACGGCTGAGTGTGCTAGTCTTGAGGTTGGGCATCCGTAAATACAAGATAATGGCTGACCTACTAGAACTCTTGTTTTCATTTTGTCAGCAGCTGTAATATAATGAATTATGGTCATAAGACCTGGATTGCTAAAAACTACATTCTAAGGATAATATAAAATAAGACTAATGTTATTTAGGCAAATTGTGGGAGATAGCTAGCATTGCTTGTTTGTTTTTGGTGGTAGTGTGTTTTGTTATTTTTCTTGGTTGCGATGGTCCCTAAAACAGACCATGATTACTGTAAGAATAATTGTGGCTGACTATATCCTAAGCATCTAATTAGAGCATGCTAATTAGAAGATGTTTTGTGAAGCCTGGTTTCCACAGAATTTGTGTTTTTATGTTCCCTGAGCCTTTCTACCCACATCAGCAGTCGCTCAGGAATCTTGGGCTTCCCTGCAGAATAAGAAGTAAGGATCTTGTTAAGGAGCTGTCAGGCGCTGAATGGGATGGGTGTCTTAGTGATCTGTTTCTCACAAATGGAAACAGGAATACATTGAAGTTTTTTCTTTGGTGGAAAGGTTACTTGATTGCTCACATTGTCAGGTTTTAGCAGAGTCTGTGTGCTTGTGTTTTTGAAGCATAATCTGAAGCTTTTCACATTTGCTTGAGTTCCAGTAACATTGGTGTTTTGGAAAATGATTTTTATATTAACTTGTTTTCATTTAGATTTAATCTGGAATGTGTGTCTCTGCAAGACCCTGAAGATTTTTGTTCTGRGAGCAACTGAGGCTACCTATTACCTAGTCTTTTGACAACATTTGTGCAGATAGGCAAGGTTATAAGATGCAAGGGTAGAATCATAC